AATTATAAACAGATGGATATTTGCTGCATTAACAATTATTTCTTAAATGTGCTTGTTTTATTGCCGAGCTTTTAACGTTTTTTCCCCACTATATTAAAGAGGAGTCATTGAAGAATCCTGTTGTCCTATCCCAGAAGGAGCAAGGGGACAACATTGCTATCCTGACCACTAACCATCCAGCACCACTTAAAGGTTTCTATATTTTATGGCACAGGAAATAGGATGTATTAGTCATTCATTTCTTAGTAGTAGAAGACTGCATAAAAACCACTTGTAATTCTTCCTGTTTATTCTAAACCAGAGGTCCTGAACCCCCTGGCTGTCTACCAATACCAGTCTGTGGCCTCTTAGGGACCGAGCTGCACAGCAGGAGGTGAACGGTGGACAAGCGAGCATTATCGCCTGAGCTTCACCTCCGCCGTGGAAAAATTATCTTCCACAGAACCGGTCCCTGGTGCCAGAAAGGTTGAGGACCACACTTCTAAACCACCAGCATTACATGCTTCTAAGATATTTCCCAGAAAAGGGAAAGTGGGCAACAAATAGTATTATAAAAGCACCTCCGTCATCATGATCTTATATTTAAGTGGTTGATAGGAGGATTGCTGAAGAAAGAAATGTTAGTTAGGAATCTCATGCACAAAATATTAATTTTGTTTCTAAGTAAAAATAATAAAAACGCTAAATAGAACTATTATGTGTCCCTGAGCATTTAAAGAGTCAAAACCTAAGGTCAAAAATTATTAACATCTTTCACAGCCTCTGCTTTACCTGTTTTTCATTAGAATCAACCGGGGGCACTCTTAAATAATACAGGTACTGGGTTCCATACTCAAAGATTGTGATTCCACTAGTCTGTGTGGGACCAGGGCCTTTATAGATAGCCTTAAGTTCCTAACACAGATACATTTTAGGAATGGTAATTAGAGTATTGTTTATAATGGAGAAAGATTGAAAATGATTTAAATATCCTTAAAGTGTTATTGTCACAGCAGATGTAATAAGATGGGAAAATATTGACAACATATTATAGCATGAAAAGCTTAGGTTTACATCAAAGAACAGAAAGCAAATGGTCCTGCTTAAAATAGATGTATTATTTTTAAAGTTTCAATGGTACGTTCTTTCTGTTTCACTGAAAAATAAAGTTAGTTAAATTAGGTTTTTCTGTGTCTGCTAATTGGTGTTCCTTTTTAAACATTTTTAAAATTTTTTATTGACATAATCATTGTACATATGGGGTACACAGTGATGATGTGATACAGATAATGTATAGTGATCAGATCAGAGTAATTAGCATATCCATCATCTCAAACATTTATCTTTCTTTGTGTTGGGAACATTCAATAATTGGTTTTACCTTGTGGAGTGTGAGCCATACTATGAAAAAAAAAAAGAGAGAATCCAGGTGCAGTGGCACACACCTATAGCCCTAGTTACTCAGGATGTTAAGTCAGGAGGGTCGTTTGAACCCAGGAGTTCAGGGCCATAGTATATAATGATCTTGCCCGTGACTTGCCACTGCACTCCAGCCTGGGTGGCAGAAGGAGACCTTGTCTCTAAAAAAAAGAAAACAAAAAACAAAAAAGAGAGAGAGAGAAGTGTTCAGCACTGTGCTGCTGTCTCTGATTCCTACAGGAGGATGCTGAATTTGACCTTGCCCCACCTCCTTGAGGTGCAGAATTCTCAGACCTGCTGAGTGGAGGTGGACAAATAGATCTTTGGCACCATTATCTTAGACTTTGGGACACGAAAATCTTCAAGTTCCAGAGCCTAAAATGCTACTAAAAATGGAGGAGGAAATGATAACCTATACCGTGGGCACCTCAGTAAAAGAACAAGACTTAGTTAAATTTGTCAAACAACAAACAAACAGAAAAAATAAAACCCAATAGTATCGTTTTTTTTCCCTATTTAAAAAGGTTGAGGGAAAGAATAACATTTTTTATTCCTTCCTGGGCCTGGGTCTGTCTCTGCAGGACAGGAAGAATCTTGGTATTACTTGTTAAGCCCTGTCATCACTGTTCTTTTAGAGAAAAACAAAACATTGCACCCGGAAGTTTAGTGATTATCTGCTCTGGCTGGCCATGCTTTAAAGGTGAAGCAGCTCAGGACCAGGGGTCCTACAGCCAGCCATAGACCAAGGCAGTTTCTGCTCAGTCCACCTCCAACCCTGTGCTATCTTCCTGACAAGGCTCAGAGTTATTGTTTCCCAAACAAGTCCAGAGAGGTAAAGTCAGAATGCTGAGAAGGAAAAGAACCTGTAAAACACAGGACAAACACTTAAGTTATCTGAGCTGAAGAGATCTGTAGTGAGAAGACCCTGCATGCCGGGTTTTGTGTTCTCAAGGATCAGCAAAACAGATGCTATGGCCTGGCTAGTCGTACTGGTGTAGGAGGCAGGACTCAACTCCAGAGGTGGGGCCAGACATCACATCGGATTGAGGACTAGCTAAAACAAGAACAAGGTGGAAGCAGCTTTCCTTAAGACATGCCCACCAACATGCCATGTAAGCTTACCATTGTCATGGCAACACTCAGAAGTTACCATCCCTTTCCATGGCAATAACTTGATGACCTGGAAGTTACTACTCTTTTTCTAGAAATCTCTGCAGAATCCCCTTTAATTTACATGTAATTTAAAGTGGTTATAATTATGACTGCAGAACTCTGTCTAAGCTGCTACTCTCAGCACACTATGGAGCCCTGCTCTGTAGGAGCAGTCATGGAACTGTAACACCGCTGCCTCAATAAAGCTGTTTTCTTCTACCACCAGCTCAGTGTTAAATTCTTTCCTGAGCAAAGCCAAGAACCCTCCCAGGCTAAGCCCCAGTTTGAGACTTGCATGTCCTGCATCACTAACTTATTAATGTACTAAGATTTTTAGGAATCAAGAAAAAAAATTAACTAATCTAAAATACACAGGGTGGATGAAGTTGAAGTTGAACTTTTATTATCTCAGTTAGCATGCAGTGAGGACTCAAGATTTTAGTGTCATGGTCCTATAAAATTGGATGGAAAGAAAATGTATGCAAAGGATGAATCAGGAGGGCAAAAATGTTTAAGTCTTTCATTAAAAAAGACACTCAACACAGTGCAAGGTTTCAATACTATGCAGTGGGGTGGTGTATGTTAGGAGAGTTTAGACCTTAGAAGGAATATGAATACATATAAAATAATCCACATGAGTCTTTCACATCTGCATTTACCTTGGAGCACTTCTATTCAGTAATAAGGCAGGTATTTTGTTTTACTTTATTTTATTTATTTCAACTTGTCAAAATTAACAAAGGCTAAACCTATGGTTGCAAATTTATTTTCCCAACAAGTAATATCATTCATAATACCACTGTCCTATAAGGAAAGGAACAAGGAAGTGACATGTTCACTTTAACCTTTTATATTATAGTTTTAAATAGAATAATGAATGAAAGAAAGAAACAAAGAAACAAAGAAAGAAAGAGAAATAAAGAAGAAGAAAGAAAGAAAGAAAGAAAGAAAGAAAGAAAGAAAGAAAGAAAGAAAAGAAAAGAAAAGAAAAGAAAAGAAAAGAAAAGAAAAGAAAAGAAAAGAAAAGAAAAGAAAAGAAAGAAAGAAAGAAAGGTTGAAACCTCAGTGCCATATGGAGAAGACAGCTAATTGGTAAGAAAATAATTTTTATTTCCAGTTTTGAATGGGTAATAAAAACAACTGAGAGGAAGGAAAAATAACATTATATAGTATGTGGTGGCAGTTTCCTTTGAAGTAATCATGCATTGAAGTATAAAGTTGTACATAGCTTGGAGAAGTGTGCTGCTTCTCAGATACTCAATTGGTTAAAGGCAAACAAGCTAGTATAAAGTGGCTGGGTACAAAGATGTCATTTCCTCCTCCCATCAAATTAAAGAGGGTTGTAAAGTTTTTCTGTGTGTGGCACAAACAGTGGTGTGCTTTACCTACTGTCACCTTGGATCACTGTGATAGGACTTGCTGGTAAACATTATTGCATCATGGATTTAAAGAGGTATCACCCCTTTTTCATTTGGCTGGAAGATGATAATCAGCAGACAAGTGTCTCCTGATACTCATAGGAGGGAGCAAAACAGGAGATCAAATGCTTCCTACTCTCTACAAATAACTGTCTGCAAATGCCTGGGTTTGTCAGGATTCCAGAAGATAGTGAACATTTTTCAGCTGGCGAAGCGCTGCCTCTTTGACTCTGATCTCTGCATCTTATCAAAGTGTGCAAATTATTTAGCAACTGCGACATTATTTATAGGTATGAATTGAACAAATTAATCTCATAAATAATTCATTTGGGGGCCTGTGAATTAGCAGTGCACCACAGTGAAATAAAAATATACTTTTACAAAGCTGATATCAATTGTCATTGTGAGTTAGATTCAGTCTTTTTTCAAACAACATTTTAGCATATTGCATGTGGCCTTTTTTTAGGTTTAGAACCAAGACTGTGCAGATGAGGTGAACACAGGTATCTACACAATCTGTTGAAGTGCTCTGAAAATAATAAAAGGAATATAAGTGGGGAATTCTGGTGTGAATTATCCAGATAATTGCTGCACTTTTTCGATTCACCTTGGGTGCATAGTTTTTTAAAAACTGTCTTTTTCCTTAATGAGAGTTCCGAAATATACAGACTCATAAGATGAAATAGTTTGATAGGGAAGAAAGTAGGTCTTGTCCTAACAGAACAGCAGGCTGTCAAACTATTTCATCAATCAAAAAACCAAGAACAGGCCTTAGATACCCCAAAATTCATTTTTAAAACTGGAAACAGAAGCAAAAATTTTACTTCCCTACAGTGAGACCTAAGAATGTCACTATGGACTTGAGAGAAAGACAGTCGCAAGTTTGTTTGCTAGTAGACTCCTAGGGAGCTGAACACAAAAATCCAATAAATAATTAGCTCTCCTGTGACAGGCTTCTGAATTACTGTGATACATTAATTGGACAAAATTAGCATGAATTAAGGCAAATAACTATAACATGTAATTTATTACTTACTAAGCATGGTGCTGCAGTGGAAGCTTCGGATTTCCCTTAAGATTGCTTTAACAGCTATAATGCATTCCTTAATTTACTCTGTGGAAAATCAATTTTTTCAGAGTTCATTAAGCACCAATATGTTACAATGCAACTCTCTAGAGCATAGAGCCTCAATACATTATGCAAATCCATGCCAGTGTGGCACCAATATGTAAATAGCAGTAATGTTATTGTCAGTTTCCTATTGATAAGTCTGACCAGAATGAGAATACCTAGAACTTCTTGACTTTGTTGACTTATTTTGTGTGGTTGGGGCTGTTGCATGCTGTCCTTCACTGAATATAGTGCCAATATTTCTTGCAAGGTATAGCAAAGCTTTCATCAATGACTGAAAACAGTGTCATTTCCATTAAATTCCATGCCTTCTTGTCTATGCTAACCAACCAATCAACAAGTGTTTATTAAGTATATATTATGGGCCCAGTGGAGTCCCTTCTGAATTTTAAGTGATAATAGGCTTTATTTACCTAATTTGAGCCAGAGAAATAATTTAGGTCATCAAAGCTGCAATTTCATGGAAATACATCTCAATTCCCCATTTCACTTGGCATCAGTTGACATAGGTCATATTAACAAAAAAAAAACATGTGGTTCAATTGAAAATAATTTTGTAAAAAGCAGTACATTCAAGAAAAGTATAATTGAAGCAATTTGTTTGGCTTTAAGATTTAGTAGATGAATTATTATTATAAAAATTAATATCCATAATATCTGATTTTTCAAAATTTGGTGATTTTGTTTTCCCAATAAATAGCAATTCCGTAATCCTTTATGACTTATTTTTTAAATGTTTCTTTTAGTTTCTAATTTTCCACTATTTATGTTTTCTCTGGATTATTTATAGCATTAAAAAATCAATTAAGCCTCAATGTTCAGAAATAATAGAATGCTATGGACTGAATTGTATCTCCTCAAAATTCATATGTTGAAACTCTAATCCCTAGTGTGGTAGTACTGGGGATGAGGACCTTGGGAGGTAATTAGGTTTAGATGTGATCATGAGGGTGAGGACATCATGATGGAATTAGTGCTCTTATTAGAAGAGATACCAGAAACATGCTCACACACTCTCTCCCTCCGCCATGTGAGGATAGAGGGAGAAAGCACTTATCCACAAGCCAGGAAGTGAAGCCTTGCCAGAGCCCAACCATGCAGGCACTGAGATCCCAAACCTCCAGCCTCCAGAACTGCGAGGAATAAGTTCGTGTTATTTAAGCCATCCAGTTTATGGTATTTTGTTAAGGCCGCCTAAGCTGGCTAAGACATTGGGTAACAGTTGGAATAATATAAATGTGTACAATTTGGCTGGTTGCATACAAATATTATGTTGGTTTATAAAATACTAGGTAGAGTATGATTCCTTTATTTGGTTCCAAAATATACTCTATTATATATTATATATACACAAATATATTTGTATATATAAATATATATGAAAATATGATCACTTATAGAATACAAAAATATATAATGTATATACATATATTATATACTATATATTATTTATTATATTATATATAAATGTGTAAGATATTAAAAATACAATATATAAAATATAATATATAAGTGTATATTTTATATATATATATTTATGGAAGATGGAAGATACATATCTAGGAGTTGTCTGCAATGAATACTTTCATTTCCTATAATAAATGAGAGCTAAATATTATTTAAACAAAAAGGAATTATATATATATTAAATATTATTTAAACAAAAAAAATTATACAGAATTTTTTCCCCTACTGATTCTATTTCTTCTTTCTTCCCTGCTTACTTGGTTCTAGGCACACTCTCCTCTTTGATCTTTCCTGGTACACAGCATACAAGCCCACAGATTGAGGAATCTGCACTTGCTGTTCTCTCTGCCTGGAGCTCTATGACTCCAGACAGACTCCTGCCAACTCCTTCGCCTTGTCCAGGTTATCTTCATTAAATATCAGCTTAAATGTGTGCCTACTCTTTCCCCTACCTAGAATTGCAAGCGCCTGTCACCACTGTGCTCCAATTCTCCTTAACTTAAGCCACTTATGTTCTCATAATAAAGCCACATATGTGTTCTTATTATAATATAATCGTACTATATAATTTATATTTTATTACTTTTGTTTGTTTACTTATTGTATGTTTCTGTTCACAAGGATGTAAACTCCATGAACACATAGATCTTTGATTGTTTTATTCACTGATCTGTGCCAAATGTTTGGAACAACGCCTGGCACATAGTAGATGTTTGATAAATATTGTTTTTTTCTGAATGAATAAATACATTTTAGCCAAGTATGCTGACTCTGCTTGTTTGGTTATATTCATGTGTGTGTGCATGTATGTGCAGAAAAAGGAAGAAATTAGTTAATACCAAATCTATAAAATGGGAAAAATAATGCTTACCTTATAGTGTTGTTATGAAACTCAACTAATATATGTGAAGTGTCTACCATAAAATGTGGAGCATAATAAGCATTCAGTAAATGGCATTTTGTTTTACTTAACATCTGGTTGCCTATTGTTGAAGGTCGGCTCTTTAATGTGCGAATTAAGGTGTTTTATTTCCTTCATATATCAATTATAGTCTATTTATTTACTTCTAGGTAAAATCCTTTGATGGACATTTAAGCTGTGCCAACTTTTTACACTAAAAATATTTACATTCTATTGTTTCAGTTATTTTTTCATATGTTTGCTTGCTCTTTTCCTTTATAGCAATTAATTTGAAATTACACATTTATTAAACCATGAATTTCTTTAATGTTTGTTTTCATACTACACTATAATTTCAGTGAAGGCAGGTACTCATTTGAATTACTTACCTTTTATATTTGGAACTTGGCACAGTGTGCTTGTCACAGAGTAGGTAATATATATGAAATTAAAGAAACACCAAAGACCTGAAAATAAATAGAAATGATAAAGCAAAAATGAAGGGAAGCCATCGTGAAATTTGAAAACAGAGAAAATTGTTGAAAATTATTTTTATGGGATGATAATATGATCAACTCCTCTCTCTCTCTATCTATACACATATACACACACACACACAAACATACACACACCAGATAGTTTGACGTATATGTATATATCTGTGTGTGTGTATATGTGTGTGTGTGTATATATATGTGTCTATATATATATACAATAGTTTTCCACTAAATTGTGGACTTCCTTGTTTTAAGCCAAACTCTTTTCACTAAGTTTGTCTGACATAAAAAGACTCAAACTCAATGTAGTTGATTGGAGTGCTAGCAGTGTTTTCTATACTGTAAATCACTACCTGATTATCAAGTATACTGATGGTGATTAGCTATTTAATGATAAAGAAATTGGTCATAATAATAGGCACAAAAAATTAAGATTTCTAGGCACCAAAAAAGATCTTTTTTGTGTGTGGGGAAAATACCCTGGATTTTTCCATATTTTCTGCAATAAATAAGTCCTTTTGTGAGTTTTGGTAAATGAGTATGACAGTGAGAATGGGTAAGATGTTCTATACTTTTTCTAATGAAAAATTGGGCTGAGGATTCCAATACTGCTGTTTCTCAGCTGGACAGCGTTTGTTAGTGTATGCTACAATTTTACCAAGAAATAAAGGTAGTTTAAGAATGAGAGAAATTTTGATGCTTCAGCATTTATATAATTTTTATTTTATTGGTTTTTAAAATGGAAATACAATGCAAATTATATGGAGAGTAAAACTGATAAGAATTAGAAGGAAAAAAATTAACTCATAATTCAAAAAATTGGAAATAAGGAAAAAGAGTCCAACAAACTACTGGAGTAAAAGTTAAAAAAAATCGCTGCTATATTCTACATAATCTAATTGTCATGAAGAAGTCACTAGAATGTTATTTCCATGCCTAGGAGACATCATGTTTTCATCACTGAATTCTTAACACCTAGAGCAGAATGAAAAAGGAGTCAGTCAGGAAGTTGGCTAGAGAACTAGTCTTTTAAGTATGTCAAAACATTATCGTGGCATCAGATATCTCTGGAAACATAACAAGATGGTGAAAATGGTGTTTCCTTATTTTCTCTTACAAAAAAATTTTATGAAGCAGAAAGAAATATTTTGTTTTAGCTTGGAGGGTGTAATAAAATCCAGCGGCTTCTCAGGTGGTAGATGTAGTTCTCTGAGGGGCTTTGGTGTTGCTGAATACTGTGTGGATTTTTAAGCCCAAACTGATTTACCTGGACTAAGAGGAGGTACTGAGCTTTGCATTAGTCTAACCATCCAGAGCAGTGGCCCCTTTCCCGTTTTCACAATGAAATTCTTAGCCTCTATCCTAAGTGCATGAAAAAGAAATATTTAGAGATTATCGCTTTTAAAGGATACCCTATTGATCATGCCTTGCTCTAGGATCCCACTGTTTTCATAGGTCTTTTGTCCCTACAACACCTAAACATTGTGACATTCTTTTCTGTTATAGTTGTCACAATGGAATGACTGAGAAAGATTTCAAGTCTCTGGGAAAAAAATCAGATGTAAAGGAGGCTGGGAGAAAATACGTTTGTGAAAGGCTTGATTTGATGACTTCATGGCTTCATATGGACATAGATTGTGTGGGAGAAATGCTGACACCTCTGGAATGCTTAGAACACAGCTAGTGAAATTTTGACAACAAGTGTCCATAAATATGTATTTTACAAGTAGGTTTTGTGACTGCGTTTGATAAACACATACGATGGTAAGGTCAACAAAGTATGACTCAAAAAGTATTTATGGAGCAGAGTGTTATGATGTGTTGTATCAGGTTTCTGATTTATATGGAGTAGCTAGAAATGAATTTACATGATAAAATAGAGCATTTACTGCCCATAAAGGATATAAAATACTAACCCAATTTGTACTGCAGAAGTTTATGTGACTTTTATTACAGGTACTTTGGTTGTTTCTATCTGCTTGAGAGTTATTTCTTAGGGTTTTTGCAATATTCATTTTAAACGTTAATACTCCAAGATTAGATTAAAATCTAAGTATCTGGTAAATAACATATATTGTGAAAGATTACGTTGTGAATGAGAACATTTTCTAACAGAGAAATAGCTATGAAATCTTTTTATGATCTATCATCCAAATAGTGCTATTAGAATGAGAGCTTTTAAAGATGTCTAATTTCTCAAACACTTTCCAAGTAATTTCATCTTTTACATTATATAACCATGTGTTCTGAAAGCGCTTTGAATAATAGAATCTCTTGGTCTGAGATTAATAACCACATCTGTTTGTTTACTTATGTGTTTAATAATAATAATGTCATATTTTTATAGCAATTTTAATGTGCTTTCACATCTATTATGACATTCTGAGCTTACAATAGTCATACAAATAAATCATCTTTTAGTTAGGATCACTTCATATTGACTCTTTTTATATAAACATTGAATCAAAAGTCTGGGTTCAAATCCAGTCTTTGCTTTCTGCCTATACATGAGACTTACGAGAGTTGCTAACACTTAATAAACATATACAATTGTCAACTATTATGGTTTACATACTTCATTATTTAATGACCCTTGGCATTGGCACCTTTATAATTTCTTTTTTATAGGTTACAACACTGAGGTTAAAGGAGAATAAGTAATTTGCCCAAGGTTACACAGCTTGTAAATGACAGAGCTGGTAATAGAATCCTTGCCTGCCTGAACCCAAAGCCTAACTTTAATTGCAACTAGACTGCACTTCTTTAAACCATGGAGACTAGGGACACAGCTTCCATAGAAGAATGCTTTGCTGTCAATGATCCTGCCTACCTGAAATGTAAATTGTGGACTTTATGGAGCCACATTGGTAGCCTAACACTAAGTTTATATTTTATAGCCGTCACTTACCTTTGCACGAAGATTTGCCACAGGATTTGTCACTGTTGCCATTCTAACACTTCCCAATCAAATAGAAAACAGTCCTAAAATGAAAATGTTGATCAAAACACTTCCCAGTTTCTCAGTCTTGATGTTACTGGTGTTTTCATCCTGGACATTGTATTTTGTTCTATTGAGAGAAGTCAGATTCAGAAGCATTTTCTCAAAGTGTGATGAGACAGAGGAGTTCTAGAGCTAACCAAGTAGGGCAGCTCAAGGAAGCACAACATGAAGGAGACATTCAAAGAGGATGAGTGAAGAGCTGCGAAGGGCCATGAAGACAGAGCCAACTGTCAGTGTGAATGGAAAACAATAAAAATACCAAGAAAGGAGGAAGGCTGTGGAGGAAGGGCATAGATTAGCAATTAGATCTAAGATAGTAGATGACACCGGCACATGCATTTGGTTGCAGTGTGGGAGAAAACCCCTGAGCTTAGGATACTTAGCATTTTATAATGATAGGCATGCCAGCCTTTGCTCTGAAGGGAGACATTATGTTTATTTTTCTGGACAATAATCATTCCTGGAGGGAGATACAATCTCCGTCTTCCAAGGCTCTTTGATAAACAAACATCCTTCAAAGAACAAAGGCAACCAGTGCCTTTACTTCCAGAATAAGCACATGCTTGTGGGACTGACAAAGATTTGTGTTCCATTAATATCCACCCTTGTTTCTATACTGTCTTGGCGTCTGGCAAGTTTTTCCCAAGGTGAATACACTCCATTGTCAACTCCAGTGGTGTCATTAATCTCTTCAGCTAAACTCAAGGACAAGTTCTATATTACCTATTCTATGTGGATAACTTCCGTCTAGGGATAACAGCCCACAGGATGTAAAACAGTCATTCCTCCTGAAAGCATCCCTGGGTAGTCTCACTTTAAAGAGATTCCTACAGTTATCTGAGGTTCTCTTGATCCACTGGTGGTAGTTCTTTAAACACTTGGAGGTCTCTTGTGAATACCTCTAAAGTATATGTCACTATGTTTTCAGGGGGGAAATAAATTCATGACTGGCTTTTATATAAGAAGTCCATTCCTGAAAGTGTCATAGTGCTGTGGAGATAATGCTATTTAAAATTATTGGGCCTCCCAAGTGGGACCTACACCAGTTGGAGGGTACAGATTGATGGAGCCTCCAGGCCAGCTGGTCAGTATTAGTTTTCCCAACTTAGTTCAAATGGTTGAGACTAGTCTTTGTGTTTGGAGGGGGAGCCAGTCTAATTTGTTCTGTTTGTCTTGTCATCTGCCTGGTGACATTTGTCTGCTCCATGCAATGATTAAGCTGTGACAAATGGTAAATGCAAATTGATAAAGGGGGTGTTGAAAGATGATTTGTATGTGAGGTGCAGAAGTTAGGACTCTGTACTCTTTCTGATGAACTTCTCTCTATGAGGGGACAATGTTCAAATCATGGTAGGAGCAGTCTGGTAGGAATGACAGATGCAGAAAGTCAGTTTAATATAAGGCTCTTGCAACAGTTTGGGAGATGTGCATCAGGGTGTTTTCATTTAGGAGGATCCGCCAGAGTGGCTCTGACAAACAGCATGTCTCAATGTCCCTACTGCTCCCCTAAGATTTTTATTCATTCCCCATCCAAGTGCTAAGGTTGTTGCTCTCCCTTCACTGGCACAAAATCAGCATTTCCCATTCAGGTAGCAATTATGACATTTGTTTTTCAGTCATCTTCTATTTGCATCCAGATCTTTCATTTGGAAGTATCAAATACTATACAACAGTGCAGTTTTATAAAACTCATAAAGACACATTACATTGCCCACTTTTGCCAAGGTGGGCTACCATAGCACACTTGGCTTAGAGTGTGCTTATGCAAATATTCATTATTCTCATAATCTAGGACTATATACATATATCCAGTAAGAGAATCCCGGTGGCTGACCATAATTAAGTTTGAATCCCCTAGGGCCCCTTTTAACCATGCTGATGTTCAGAGAGTATAGAAACCAGTCCTGCCTGAGGTAACAGTTAGGGGAAAGAAAGATACACCATGTTCATGAATGGGCAGAGCAAAATGCCAATTTTTCCAAATAAATCTATATAGCTCCCCAACCTCTTTGACCTGTGTATTACCCATAGAGCAGGTGAGAGGAACAGGTCTCTTTTGGGAGATAATTGTCTTCAATGACCTAACTACCTTACTAACATTGTGGACCAGGAGGAGGTAAGGAAGGTAGAGTCAGAAATATTTTTGGCTTAATTTTTGAGGAAATGTTTCCAGTGCTCAATATTATCAGATACCTGTGGATGTATGGAAGGACTATCAAATTTCTAGACTATATGGAGTCCAGCATGGAGTGGCTTTTCCAATAAGAGTTGAAACATTGTCATAATGGAAATTTTTTGAAAAGCCAAATACATGACACAATAACTTGCATCAAGGACCATAATGTTATAGCCAGAAAATGTCAAGGACCATAATGTTATAGCCAGAGTGGACATGACAAGTATATCAACACTCTAACCTGTGTTCCAGTGGTGAGACATGGCCAACAACCCCAAGAAGGTAGTCAAAAATCTGATGTAGTTAATCTGCTAGGAGTGAGATGGAGCAATACCCCTTTCAATGTGTCCTTTCTGACTGTGAGATAAATAAGTCAACTTTTGGCAGGAGCTACAAGTCTGGCATGTGGTAGGCAACACAGAGTCCTTTAGTTTGTGGTTGGCTTTCAATTGTAGATGTGTTTCCATTAAGATAAGGGGTTCAGGCAGCAATCACAGCAATCTGAGTGGTTCAGGCTGTATCAGCTGCTTGACTCCAGTTGGTCTCATCAACAGCTGACACTTACTAAGGCACATACATGAGTCACCAAGACAGTTTAATCCAAAGCCATGGTTGGTTTCCACAGTTTGCAATTCTGAAGAGCAGTGTCTTTAATCTGCTAGTCTGCAGTTTTCCAAGCGGCAGACCAAATATCTAGCCCATTGGCAACAACCCAGGAGTTGTACAAAATATACCAAGATTCATCAAGCAAAGTACTGGCCAGAGCTTTGAGCTCTGCCCATTCAGCAGAATGACTAAATCTATTTTCGTTCTACTGTAGATGGTTCTGGGTTGGGCAGCCACAGCAGCCCCGTGGACAACATCATAATTCAGTTTAGACAAACTATCAGTGAACCAGACCTAGACATTTAGGGTGATCTCTGTGAATCGAGAACACCATTGAGTCAGCAGCTCTGTTTCAAATGTGTCGGAGTGGGGAAAAAGTTTTTCCCAATGGGAAGGCTGCCTCTGTTTCATATAAAGCTGAGATACCATGGCTCTGTTCTTGGCTATTTCATTTCCATTTGACAAGGAAGGCCTGTTAGGTCCTTTCTGTCTTTTATTATTGAAGGCAAGTTATTGGGTCAAGTCATTGAGCCCAAGTTGACCTACCCCAGTATCAGGTCAAAGAGTTGCAAGGCCTTCTTGGATCAAGTGGTCCATGTAGGTAAGAACCTAGCACTAAGCATTATATGGTTTTCAACAGGATGTACTTGCTAGTCATGTCAAGAAAGTGATATAGGTGAAGGTTGCCACCCTTTGCCAGAGGCTCCCATTGGCTAAATCATTAGCCAGAGAAACTTTAAGCTCAAAAGGATGAGGAGATTTTGGGGGCTCCAAAGATACCAGCACTTCTCTACACGTAGCTCTTCCTAATCAGAAGAATCTCCACCGGCACTTTTGGGATGGAGAAGTACCAGCATATAACATATCAATTTCTACTGTGCATTCAGATGTTAAAAAAACATTGAATTGGCCCAAATGACCCCACCCACAGTGTCACATTAGCTTTCTTTCACCTCCATGAGCCCTATCTAAACTCCCTTAGCTCATGAGACATGAAGAAAAGGGACGCCCATGAGAAACTTTCTCCCATTGTCTGGTATTTTCCAAATGCGTTGTCTACCTTTATTCTTCTGTACTATTGTTCATGAAATTCCCTCTGCCTGATATATCCTTCTCATCTCTCGCTGTCAATATTTGTCTCTTTTAGAGCCCAGCTCAACTGTTGTATTCTCTGTAAAGCATTTGCTAACCACACCCGCTGGGCTGCACGTATGTGCTTTTCCTTGAGGGTTCTCATTGCCTATTTCTGTTATGGTAAGCATCCCACTGTGCTACCACTGTTTGTTCACATGTCTCTTTATGCAGCTAGCCTGTGATGTTCTCAGGGCATGGGTCCTCTTTTGCTCATCTTTCTATCTTGGTGTCTGGTGCCATGCTTGTTTACTGAACACTCACTCTTATGAGCATGGAGAAATAAGCTAGCTCCTATTGGAGTAGCATCTTATTTACCTTCCATTACTTTTTGACATTTAATAGGTCTTTCTTCTGTCCTGTTATTAAAGTTAAATATATTTCCTTTTCAAAGTTGAATATAATCAAATAATAGTGCTAGGAAAACAGTTATGGTTTATAGATTAGATTGTTGATATGATATGGAAAGTTAACAACGATTCAAGTTATTTGACCTAAAATCATATGTATTGCAAACTTCATTTGGCTACAAGAAGGTCTGATGGGCAAATTAATAGCTTTAATACATTATAAGCACTCATAGAGCATTAACCACATTGTAAGCAGCAAATATTAGTGGTTAGCCGAAACAGATATCAGGCCAGACTGAGTTTGTTTCCTATTTCTATTAACTACTGACTGTAGTTAAGCTATCTAACTTTTTTCTGTCTAGTTTTTCCTCTGTGTCATAAAAACAGCTATTTCAGAATATCACTGGAAGAAATTAAATATGATAATGCTTGTAAAGAGTATAGAATAATTCCCAATAACAATACATGCCCAATAAACGACAAAGCAAGGGATGCATTTAGGATGGTACTCCTTGAAAAATGGGTAAAAATTACATAACATTTGTATTAATGGACACTAATGACTTTTGTATATTTGTATTTGTATATTTTGTATATAATAATACAAAAAGTTTGTATTATGTTTTGTTGTATATTTTATCTTCTGATTCTAAAACACAACTGTGAGACAAGCAATGAAGGTATCGATATCTTAACAATGAGGCAACAAGGTCTCAGA